ATAATCTAGTGTTTACCAACACTCTCTTGATAGATCCTCTCATTTACCCACACTATTATGTGTTTAAAACTATTAGGATTACGACTACCTTCAATCGTTCTAACTTAAAGACATCGTCGTCACTTCGTTATCAAACCGCAACCGCGCATAAGGTGAGTTCATACCCCTACATTTTTCAAGACTTTTTCTATGTTTTAGGGGGGAAATACAAGTAACACACAAGAAAATTTATGTTTAAACGCAAACATTCAAATACGTTTAATTACTATTTTTACGAAAAGTGATAAATACGTGAAACGGCTTTACTACCAACCTCGTATACATTTACATACAAAGTTTTTGATAAAAACACAAAGATATGAAAAACGAGTACAAATACACTACACTATTCTTATTATATATATATATATATATATATATATATATATATATATATATATATATATATATATATATATATATATATATATTGAGTACGAATCATCTACTACATTAAACTATATAAATATAGTTTGCGAAACCTTACCACCTTTGTAACCCGTTGAGCAAATGGTGTAATTATATAAAGTGCATATATAATTGTTTTTACGTTATTTTATATATTATCCTGGAAAAAGGGGATAATTACATATACAAATGGTTTTCATTACAAAAACACGTACACTCGTTGAATAAATTTTTCAGACATTGTCTTCATCGTACCTAACTGATGTATACACGAAAGTCCTGTTTTATAACCAGAATCTTCCGTACGAGAGCGTGATACTTGTGTATAGATCTATACGGGACTAATGATCTCACACCCTGACTGTTAGCTACAGTCAGACCGACAGGTTATAGGTGACAAATGTCATAAACAGTTCGACGACTGAAGAACTTCGCGGCAGACAATTCATTTTTAGCACGGTTATGAAAACTCACATGGGAAAACGACTATACGTATATTTTACACGAAAACACATTTCTTCGAACGGTTTTATACATGAATAAAACTACATATTACTATTTTTACGTATGGAAAACACTGGTACATTTCGGTCTTGGATCATTAAAGACTACAACTCATTTCTATGAAAATATTGGATTTTCTAGAATAAACACCATCATTTTACAAGTAAACGGTTTACATCTCATTTATTATAAAATATTGGAATTTATGGAAACAAACACGATTACTTTATACAGAAATGCTTACAATTATTCATACAAACTCTTATTAACCCACCAACTTAATTTTTGACACTTTTTCAAACAACTTGTATTCTCAGGGAATCACTAAAACAGGTAACTATCAGCTTTTGAGGATGAGACGCTAAGATGTCAAACAAATTTTTTGTCATCATATTGTAATTGACTTTTGAAACATGTAACACTTACAATGATGTAACTTTTTCAATTATATATATGATGGTTGTGTTTGCTTTGATCATTTATATCCAATTGTTATGATAATGTACATGAAAGTCATCCATCCCCGGACGTTTCCGTCATCCTGGTTTAGGGGTGTGACATTACTTCCTTGCATTTAATACACCTTCTTCTTCTTCTTTTTCTTCTTCTTCTTCTTCTTCAAAATCTACTCAAAATCATCAAGAACTGTAAAACACACCAAGGGGATGCTAGGATTTCTTTCTCTGAAAGATGGATAATGCAAATAGGGAAAATTCTAGAAGTTAGAGCCTTTAAATAGGACCTAAAACAAGACGCTTAGGGTTTTGAGTTTATCGTAGTCACGTGTCACGTACCTCATTAATTGAAGCGCCGTGTCCACATGGTACTCACACGTCGCGTGCATGGCATGAACATGTTGTGTAAATCCCATTCTCTTTATCTTAAAATAATAATTGACATATCCCTAAACAAGTGTTACAAAATCACTTTTCATCTTATTCACTCTATCACCTAGAGTTTATGGATTTTTCACAATTTTTATATTTTTGTTATGTTATGTTGTTAGATTAATAGTTTAGATTATGATCTATCATTAGAACATGAATTTATTAGCATTTCACTAGTGAGTTGGTGGTTTGAAATTTTGAGCTTCTATGAGCCTATTAACCATAGATTCATGGATTCATGAATTGATCTTTGCAAATGTGAATATGATGGGCCATTTATATTAGAATTGTGATTTGGAACCTATTTCTAAGAGATTAAGTTCAAAATCACATGGCTAACTTGAATTATTACAACATTGGTGATTTTAAACTCTCATATAAGCTTTAATATATAATCAAACAATCTAAACCATCAATTAGATCATATATGACAGTTTAGATTCATCAATAGTGTTTAGATAATATATGGAAGTTAATAAGAAGGCTCTTAACGATTATTGGAAAATAAGTTGTTACTTAAGGTGTCAAGTTACATTTGAGTTTGCTATTTTGTGAAATGAAGTACAATGCTTAAGATCTTCCAAATTGAATATTTAATCCTTTTAGGTGATCGTGTTTTGATGTTATTATGTAGAGTTTAAGTAAGTCGTATATAGTCATCCTAAAGGCATTAAGTCACTTAAATCATTAAGTGATGAGTGAGTTAAGATACAATTTGGTGATTAGAAATGAAGTAGATTGGTTTAAGTCAAATTAAAAGAGCTAATCGACATTTTAACTTTTTTGCTAAAAATGGTTTCAACACACTTTGCAAGGCCTGTAAAATTATCCAGTCAGCCCTTAGAAAAATTTGCATGACATTACAAATAATAATTTATTATTGTTCATATTGCTAAAAACGAAGGAATTCACTTACTGAGTTTCCAAATTCCACGACCTACAAATTTAATTGTCATAGCTTACAAAATTATATGGGATTTTCCGTTGCAAACTTTTATGTGAAAAATGATTTTTAAAAGCATAAAGGATTTTCAAAATGGGCTATGATATTTAGGATTAATGCCACATTACCCCCCTTTCGAACATGTGTATAATCATACGACATAATTTATCACTGCAACTTCTACATACATATTTTCAACAGTATAAACCGTATATATCAGACAACACAAACCATGCTTTCTAGGTTTGAATTTTATTTAAGCTTTTTTAAGCACTTGCATTGTTACCTTTAAGAGAAATTAAATACCCTCCTATATTTTATTCTTACTTATCTTTCTATCATATCAAATGTTCATAATGTTCATATGTGTCACATTTAATGAAATTAATAATATTTTATTTTACTTGTCACAATTTATTGTGAGTAGAAGGATAGTACAAATATAATGTAAAAAGATTTTTTAATTTCTCTACCTTTAAAACTTTTTTTAATGTACCCTGTCCATTTTCTTTCTAAAATAAAATGAAATTTTATTACATTGAAATGTATTTTAAAAGTTAGTGACTATATGTATAAAAAATTACCGAGTACCGACCAAAACTGACAAAAAAAAAACATATAAAAGCTAATATATAAGCTAATATATAAAGTTTGACGAAAATTAGGTATAAGCACCATTATTTTATTTTCATCCAAAAATACTGCACATTTTTTTGTAAAAAGTTAAAAATTAAAAATTCCAACACAAACATCATGACCATCTATTACTTTTTTGCAGATGGTATTCTTTTCACAAAAGCCATAAAAATTCGACATTAAACACTCTAATAACTTTTTGTACTTCTTATTATTTTGTTAAAGGTGATGTTTTTGTTATAAAAAATATTGAAATTTTTAAAAATTGCCAAAGGCGGTATTTTGTTGGAATTTTTTTTTTAAATTTTGTATTTTAAAAATGGTTTATTTGTTCTTCAAATTTCGTAGCCCTATAAACAAACAAATTCAAACTAATGATATACATCATATGTTTTCACTCTTAAATAAACAATAGACATAAAACTAGCTAAATTACTTGCATTAACAAATACACCATTTTCTAGTCTTATATAGACATAAAACTAACTAAATTACTTGCATCAACAACTACACCACTTTCTAGTCTTATCGGGTAATTAAATTTGAGATTTTTGTGATAACAACCATCGATAGAATAATAAAGAGACAATATTGTTGATAGTATGTAACATTGAGCTTTTGACGCCAACAAGTCAACAATCACATAAATTTGAAAAAGTAATCCGATATGAAGATTTTATGAGATGATCCTCTTACCACGACGTCTAACATATTAGTTTTCGAAAATAAATCAGATTGTGATTTCTTCTTTTTCTAATTTTAACAAAAAAAAATGCAAAATATATAAGAAATACAGAAAAGATTGCATCCAAGGAGCGAATTTAATGATTTTTTCTAACAAACAAATATTGTTTTTAATACAAAGTAAAAAAAAAAATACAAATGAGCTGAAAGAAAATGTTAAAGTTTAGTAATTGGAAAAGACATCAACTTTTGTTATGGCGACCAATCGAAACTATATAGTGACTTCTTCGTACAAAATGTTAAGTTTTATTTATTTATTTATTTTGTCTCAAATCTATCAATAGTAAATATTAATTATAACATCATTTAGAGTTTAATATCCCAGCAAATTCATCTAAAATGGACAAAATCGTCATATTTTTAACATTTACAATAAAACAACTAATGATCATTTTCAGAAAGAAATTTTTGAAATTTCAGAAAAGTAATACAAAAATACATCCAAAATACGTTTTAAAAATACACATTTTTAGATTTCATTTACATATACCATTAATTTATTTATCTTTTCACATATACTTACCAGATATGTTTGATTTTAGTGCATGAATAATAATTATCAAGATATTCGGCTTATGATTACATGCAGAATACGATAAATCAAATCCCCATATCAACACCAACAAAAATAGTTAACAGATCAAACACAAAGTTTAACCTGAAATTACTCCAAAACAGCTATTAAATCCAAATTACATCAAATTGTTCAAGAAAAAAACTACTTGAAGATTAACTCAACAACTTATAATACTCTAGTATGAATCGCTAAACAAGAATTGATCCTCCATTGAATGTTGATGATGATCATATCCCTCTTTCTACGCATCCATCTCTGCTACCTATTCATGATGATCGACAAGAAAAAGCAAATTGTTTCCTGAACATGGTACAGATGATCATGTAGAAAGTCAGACTGTTGATTTCAATCACCAGATTAGACTCTATCAGGTACTTGTGAGCATCAATGGCGTTTAATCCAATATGACCAGTCTTTCTATCATTTCCCACGATAACACTCAAAAACATCAAGTAAACGCAACAATTGTACAGAAGTACCTAAATTGAGTTAACTTTTCAAAATTCTTATCCCTCATCCCATCAGTGTGTGTATACACCATCGAACAAGTCATGGGGAACATAACAACAACACAAGCAATTAAATCTATCAGCATTAACATATCGTTCAAATTCATCCAGTCAAGAACAGAATTGTTAGCATCCCCAATCATTATTCTAACTACATTTGTTAAAACCTGAAGAGGGATCAAAAACAGTAAAACGATTCTATCCACATTTTGCATAATCGGCTCCATGAAATTCCAACCAGAAGCGATTAATTGGATTACAATAGACAAACGGACAACACTGATGAGCTTAGAAATGTAGAAGAAGAGACCTGATTCATGAGTATCTGTAACGTTCACAGCAGCATAGATCAAGTTAAGTGCCTTCACTAGTATCAATCCAGCCATCAGTAGATGAATCCTGCGAAAAGTTGGCTTGACCTTGAAGCAAACCAAAATCCAGTGTACGAGAAAGGATAGATAAACGATGGAAAATTCAAAGTAAACAGATGAGAGCTGAGGGTCGCATTTCCGGCCGAGAACACGTTTTGTTGAAGGAGGAGTGAACATAAGGGGAGGGAGCGAGGTCATCGGACTGGATCGTCGGAGATTCCAGCTCCGCGGTGGTGGAAGTGGGTGGTGCAGAGATGATGAAGACAAAGAGAAGAACAGTAGTGAAAGGTGTTGCTAATTGGATGAAATTTCTGTTAGTTTTTTTGTTTATGGAACCGAATTCTTATATACCTGTCAGAAGATTCGAGACACTACCGATTCAATTCGTTTTTTTACAGGGGCTTTTTGGTAATTTTAGAAATATCAACTATTTGATGTCTTGATATGGTTTTGTTAATTAGAACTTCTTTTATGTATTGTCCTTATTTGATCTTCAGTTTTATAATTGTATAATTAATAAATTAGAGGTGTACTACTAGTGTAATATTATTATCCTGCGCGCTTGGATAATCCTTGGTGATTTCAATGATGTACGGAGACCTGAAGAAAGAATCAACTCAGTTTTCTGCAAGTCAAGTGCCGAATCTTTTAATCGTTTCATACAAAGAGCAGATCTTCACGACTTAAAAATGGGTGGGAGTCGGTTCACTTACTTTCAGCAATTTGGTGCAAAGCTAAGTAAATTAGACCGATTCTTGGTCTGTTCGAATTTTATGGACAAATTTCCCTTAGCTTCTTCTATTGCCCTTCCAAAAGAACTCTCAGACCACTCACCGGTTATTCTTAAAACGGAGGTTGCTGATTTTGGGCCATCTCCATTCAAAATGTTTAATTCATGGTTACTTCGGGAAGGTTTTGATCAGGTTGTACTCAAAGCTTGGGAAGAATTCAATGGTTTTGGTGCTGCTGACGCCTTTTTAGCGTGTAAATTAAAACACTTGAAAGGTGAAATAAAGAAATGGAGGGCAATTGAATTTCAAAAGGAGAATCATGAACTTCTGAATACGAAAAAAAGAATGGAAGAGATTGACCGTTTGGCAGAATCTAGACAACTGTCTGATATTGAAATCGAGGATAGGGCTAGAGGCTTTAGTAGAATTTCGGAATTGGAAAGGCTGGCCTCTTTAGACCTCAGACAGAAATCAAAGATCAAATGGTTGATTGATGGTGATGAGAACACGAGCTTCTTTCATGGTTATGTAAACAACAGGTCAAGGCGAAACCAAATTCTTGGTTTTTTGGTAAATGGTGAATGGGTCTCACAACCCAATGAGATGAAAAATGCAGCAGTGTCATTTTTTTCCAACAAATTCCAAGAAAAATGGGCGAATAGGCCAAGTTTTAGAAGTGAATTATTTAGAAAATTATCTCCAAATGATGCTGAATTCTTAGAAGCTCCGATCTCGTTGGTTGAAATAAAAAATGTTGTATGGTCTTGTGGTAGTGAGAAGGCCCCGAGACCAGACGGATTCACCCTTAAATTCTTTAAAAAATATTGGGAAACCGTTAAAGGAGATGTGCTCAGTGCGGTAAAACACTTTGAAAGGTGGGGTAAATTCTCAAGAGGGTGCAATGCTTCCTTCATTATGTTGGCAGCAAAGATCAAAGACCCACTTCGGCTTGTTGATTATCGACCAATCAGCTTGATTGGTTCGATGTATAAAATTATTACTAAAGTGCTAGCTTTACGTATCAAAAAGGTGATCGGTAGTGTGATTGATGAGGTTCAATCAGCTTTTGTGGAGGGTCGTAATATTCTCGAAAGACCACTTATTGTAAATGAATTGTGCTCATGGGCTAAGTCGCATGGAAGGAAAATTCTTCTATTTAAGGCGGACTTTAATAAGGCCTTTGACTCAGTTAATTGGGGTTTTCTAGACTCCATAATAACCCAAATGAACTTTGGGTGTAAATGGCGTTCGTGGATTCGGGGCTGTTTAGAATCGGCTAGAGCTTCTATTCTTATTAATGGAAGCCCCACTGCTGAATTTACAATGTCAAAAGGAGTGAGGCAAGGGGATCCTCTATCCCCTTTCTTGTTTATCATCGCGATGGAGGGGCTTAATGTTGCAATGAAGTCAGCGACATCCAAGGGTATATTCGACGGAATCCATATTCCTAACTTTGGTATTTGCGTATCCCATCTCCTATACGCAGACGATGCTTTATTTTTAAGAGAATGGTCACAACGGAATATTGCTAATCTTGCTAGAATACTTAGATGCTTTTACGTTTCTTCTGGTCTAAAAGTCAACTTCTCTAAATCTAAAGTATTGGGTATTGGTGTCCCGACCCAGGATGTTGCTAACTGGGCATCCCCTCTCGGCTGTGAACCGACAGTTCTACCGTTCAATTACCTTGGTGTCCCGGTAGGATCTAATATGAATCGTATGGTCTCGTGGAGTCCTATATTAGATAAACTGAAGTCAAAACTCTCAATCTGGAAGGCTAAGACCCTCAGTTTTGGTGGAAGAATCACTCTTGCTAAAGTTGTACTTGGAAGCCTTCCCACATACTTCATGTCAATATTTGGTGCCCCAACTGGAGTCATAAATTCTTTGGAAAAAATTCGCAGGAAGTTTATTTGGGGGGTCCTGTTTGTAAAAACAGTATAAACTGGGTGGCTTGGGATAAGATGACAGCTCTAAAATCTGTTGGAGGTTTGGGTATCGGTTCAATCCGATCTTTAAACTTGGCTTTGTTAACCAAGTGGCTATGGAGGCTAAAAAACGAGCCAAATTCCTACTGGGTCTTGATTCTCAATGGATTGCACAAAATGATGGGAGAGAATAATCGATTTTGTGCTAAAATCCATGGAGTAGTGTGTGGAATAATATTGTAAAAAGCAAAAAATTGTTAGAGAAGATCAATATCCCTTTTGAAGATGTTATGCGCTATGAGGAAAACAACGATAATTGGGTATCATCATTTGTTAGGGATGGAGAGTTTTGCGTGGCTGCCCTACATGATAGAATTGAAAGAGCATCCTTCCCAGTATGTGATGGGTCGTTCCCATGGATTAAATTGGTCCCAAAAAAAGTTTTGGGCTTCATCTGGAGAGCGAAACAAAATCGGATTCCGTCAGCGGTGGCACTAAAAAACAGAGGAGTCGAGATAACATCAACAATATGTGGTGTTTGTAATGTGGCAGAAGAAACTGGTGATCACATCCTTGTAACATGCACATTGGCGAGGACAGTATTACAATCTATTCTTCATTGGTGTGGACTACCGGAGAAGGAATTTCATTCGGTTTTGAATATCATTGATTATGCTACCAAATGGGGTAGCTGCCCTAAAAAGAAAAGAATTCTAACTGTGATATTATTCGGGACCATATGGAGTTTGTGGAAAACCCATAATGATAGAATTTTTAAAAAAACGGAAGCAAACTTGGAGAGGATTGTGGCTGCTGTAAAGTCATTATCTTATGTTTGGGTTAAGCATAGAGGTGATAGAGATAATTTAGATTGGAACTTATGGAGCTTATCTCCTCTCCTCTCTAATTGATACACTGTAATTTCCATCCTTGCTAGCTGCTTGCTAGAGGGGTAGTTTTTTCATTAATAATATATCTATTGCCGGTTCAAAAAAAAAACAAATACTTAGCATAAATTTATTCAATTACCAACCAGTCATGGAAAATGTAAAATGTATACCCTCTTGAAAAAAAAGAGAAACATGGATCGTTTTACTTCCAAATTGATGGATACAAAGTAAATCACAGTTTAGGATTCAATATAAACCATTTTGAACACTAATATTATACATTAACCTTTCCAAATTCTGCTACTTGCATTCCACGTATCATTTGCTTTCAACCTTCATTAACACAACAAACAAATGAAACCAAGACAAATATCAATAAAATTTGAGAGATACATAGTAAATTATCATTAAGGATTTGAAATATATCTAAAAAGGTCGATTAATCTTAACTAATAGATTAAGCCAATGTTACATCTGATTCTTGCTTGAGACCTTCAAATCCTAGATGTATCCAAGAGACTTGCTCATACATTCATGTAATCAGAAAAAAGAAAAGGATTTAAACGAACATGAAAACCAACCTACCCTTTTTCCTACATTCATGTAATTTGAACTTAAGATTTGTACAAGAGAGCAAAACCGATAAAAATTAGAAACATAAAATGATGCAGGAAATTGATGAAAAAGATGAAACATATTAACAAAAATCTTATAAAACTGCAAAACAGGAGGATGAAATGGTGTGGAAGACAACCGAGGCAATGTATCGTACATGAATAAAGAAAATGACCTTCTTCCTCGTGTTTCTTTCTCTCCTTCGTATTTATCTCATATCTGCACAAAGAGAACAGTAACTAAAGTGATTTAAATCATCATATGTTAGAAATTAGGATTCTACGTAATAAATGTAGTGTACATAATCAAAATTATCGAACAACTAAAATTGAGTGTGAGGTAGAGATAGAAAGAACCTGAATGGATTAAGGGGAGCAAATCCAACGGTTTTAGATATATTTACTGATCTTCAAAAGTTAGATGATTCTGAAATCCAAAATCCCCCGTTATAGGTGAAGAATTTTAGAAACTTTTCCAACAATAAAAACCAATCAGAAACAACATAACCGAGATTATTGTACAGAATCAAAATTAGAGGTTGTATCGATAACGGAAAATGAGAAAAACTACAAGGAACCAAGTCTAGCTTTAAAGGAACCCATAATTTTCCATCGTCGTTTACAACATTTTGGAGCTATCTTGAATGGCGAGAAGGAATGCAACAAACAGTTGATGGTTCGATAGACGTGGTGACGATGGATAGTTAACAACGGTGATGGTGGATATATGTGAGGTGTACCAAGTGGTGGTTAGCGGTTTGACCACCATGATTGATGGTTGGCGGTGGCGACACTAAACAGGGTTGATCATGGGCGGATCTATAATAGATCCCTCAAAAAAATTTCGGTACTAAATTTTTTTTAGAAAAATTTCGTTTTATGGAGTGTATTTATACATAATATTCATATGTTTAGCGAGCTAATAACACAAGTTGTAGTTGGTTCAGATGGTTAAGGCGTTAGGGAATGCTATTGGTGGTTGCAAGTTCAAATCTTTTTTTAAACATTTATCTTCTTTTATTTTCTCAGCTCATT